CAATATATATATATATATATATTATATATATTATATATATATATATATATATATATAATATATATATTATAACATACGAAGTAAATATCACTTATAGCATTCACAATCCCACTGCCCTAACCGAATACCAAACATACTACCACTAGCACATATAACACTAATATGTCCGGATAATCAATAGCCCCTAAAACACTCAACGGAGTCCGATCTTTCGGCGATATTCATTAAAAGAAAATGATGCAAAAATGATAATCCACGTAATTTAAACACATCTAAAAGTATACTTCGTACACAAGCGTTCAGCTATGTAATTTATATAGAACTAAATTAGAAAAAAATTAAGTTCCAATAAAATATTTCTGTTGCAGAACTGTTTCTATACAATTAGAGACTATACAGATCATCCAAAACGAAAGTAATATTTATTTTTAAAATGACATTGAATTTATTATATATCATTTGGATTGTATAATTGTAAAGACACTGTAACAAGTCTTGCACTTCAGCTTCTGGGTCAATGACCCCCATCTCGTCAAGTTTCCCTGACTCTCGAGCAAATGCTCAGATGGCCCCTTGTTTTGCTTCTGGACATAAATGTAACTTCAAATTAACTTCTCCCCATAGCACGTCATACACAGTTTTTGAAGGAAATAAATAAATGAATTAAAATATTTGCCTTGTTGATAAAAGAAAATGTTGTGGGATTTTTGCATAACATTGTGATGACAAAAGTAAAATATTGTAATTTGGTGGATTGTATGGTAAAGTAGAACGGAAAAATATATCTAGGCAAACTGGGTATGAAAACCGCTACTCCCAAACTTCCGGAAACACCCTAGGACCTTATCCATCCATTCAAAGATTCCTCTTATGACAACACATTTTATATTAACGAAACTTGAAAGCAGTATTGAGTACACAAAAATTAATATCAATTTAGTTTCATAGGCAAAAACATTGGAAAACCTTTTTCTCTACAATATTGCTATTAACCTTCCAATGAACGTTATATAGAATATTTTATACACTCTTTAATAAAATAAATCGAATCTTAATAGTTTGGCGTTAAAAACTTAATTTTCAAAAATTTCACCGTCAGAAAGTGCAGTCAGCATGCACAAATATTCATCGCTACTAACCTTTCGAGCCAAGATATTTTCGGTAAAAAAATATATTACAAGAGTGTACAAGATGGTAACAAAACAACCCAAAACACTACTTTCTTGTATTAATATAATGAAGATTTCTTGAAAGGATATCCGAAATGCTAGAAGTGTCAGTTATATTTTTTAAACGTACTTTTTAGATCTTCCAGTTTTCAACTTACCGTAAATAAATTAAATTGCTGAAAAGTCGCGAAATCAAAAACTCATATCGACAAAGAAATCAGAAGATAACAATGGCAGGAGTGGAAATGACGCCTCTGGACTTACCATCTATTATAAAACACTTTACCGTCTATTGATAAATGTACTACATGAATTTTATGTATTTAAAACAGTATTTCTACATAACTAGTTTTCATGACTTTATTCCTACACAGCTACAAACCGTAGCACATCCTTCTAAAACCTTCCTTAAATTTACGTGACAATGACAGACTGGTTCCTCGACACCCATTTGAATTGCCTCCCCCTCCCTGTGAAAGAATAAGAAACAATAAGTTGGTTAATCTTAATTTTTAATACTTTTCGTTTCAATTAATGTCAACAAATATTGCATGTGATATTAAAGTTGTGCGTAATATGTTTATTTACTTCAGGAATAACTATAATTGCATTCATTCCCATAAGTTATTCTTCTTTCAAGGATTATTAGAGACAAATACATAAATACTGCGTAATTTATAATATTTTATATACACCATTTATATATTAAGCAAATTTGTACATTTAAAACACTTTAAGTTTTATACTCACTTAAAAACACTTAAGTTTAAACATTTAAGTTTTATACTCAGTTTCTATATTTTTTGTTGTGTAGTTGTATAAGAGTCCATGGAGATGTAGTGTGTGATGGTCAATTTCAAAGTGAAGTGAAGTGAAATATTTACGGGATGAGAAGTGTAGGTATCGATTGTTCAAGTTTAAATCATGTCATGAACTCATAATTAGGACTTGCTTATAGTTGATATAAATACGTTATTGCTGTGAATACCATTAACACAATGACCTTTGATAGGAGATAGAAACTACGATGAAACCACATGTATGCATTTTTTGCATGCTGCAATATATCCTCGGCCGAGGAAGGAAGACTATCCGCCAAATTGGCCGGCGCTTAAAGTTATGCTTCCATAACATTTTGTAGAATTTCTTTCGTTCTAACATTTTGATCTTGAGGAATTTACAAACGTTTTCCATAAAATATGACATAACTTGAACCAATGTTTGGATATTGCCCAACAATAACCTTTTCTGAGCCTTATCAACTGCATTCAACCTTACTATATTCTTACAGCTTCACACACCGAATCACAACGTACCCAATACCTCTTCAAACTTACTTGACCGCACGATACTGCGGCGAGACCGTTCCGACGGAGGCATCTCCTTCCTAGCGTCTCCCCGCAGAAAGTGTTTCTGAGAAGCTCTGTCGCAGAGGCTCCATCGGCATAAAGTTCGACGACGGGCGTCATGGCCCCCTTCTGGCAGATTGGACGGCGCGGCATTCGCAGGAGGCTGTGCTCTCCCTCCCCTTCTCCTCCTTCCCCTCTCCGCCAGCGCTTCAAAGCCCCCTCCCCCCTTGCCTCTTCCTACTCACGTAGCGAAAAAGGCTGCCGTGCCAGAAGGTGCGGGGAGAACGAACGGCCGGCGATATTTTATCCTGCGGCGAGATGCGTTCACAAACGGACTTCAGCCCGCACCGCCTGGCCGGGATGTGCAGTGGGTGTAAACGCAGGAAAATTAGGTCACAATTTATTGTTGCCTCTATGTCGTTAACAATGCTTAACTGTTTCTCCAGTCATTCTTAGGCAAATATTGGACCAGTACCTTAACAAAGCCAGATTTTTTCTTCATCGACCGCGTTTTTTCTGATTGATTACTAGTGGTTCTGGGCGAATCAACTGCTACGGTCGTTAGTCCCGTAAGTGTTGAGCTTGTTTCTTTTGCTCGGGAGATGGTAGTGATCTTGCGGTGCTGGATGGCGAGATACGGCGCCGCCTTATCGTGGGTTTTCCCCAACCACATGTCTCCCACCTGGGGGCACCACCTCAGGCACGAAAAACTCTAAGCTTGCGACAAGTGTCCCGGCAGGTTAGTGCATGTGTTCATGTTAGTGCATGTGTGTGTAAGTAAGTAGTGATGAAAGGACAAGAAAGAGGAAGGAAAGATCACGCGCCGTCAATGGCCGCTTTCTTAGGGTTATGCTGTGGCATTCACCTGGTGGTGATAGGAGAAACCACAGAAAACTATCGATCGCTGTTCGGCCGTTCGCTGTAATTCTCCTGCAGACAACGACAATCCGCGACCTAACTAGCTTGTGTCGAAAATCCTGCCATCATCGGGACTTGAACCTAAGACCTCCCATTCAAAGGCACTTCAGAAGCTAATGCCCTGAGCCATCTCTGCCGGTACCAAGATTATTATTGTCACCACCTCGTTAAAAACGTTAAACACTTTCTCCAGTCAACAACAGGCAAATACCAGAGCAATTTCTTTACAAGGCCCGATTTTTCCTTTATCGACCTTCTTTTTATCCTTTGTCGTTAGTTTCACACCGTACTCTCGCATACACGTATAGTTACCAGCATTACACTACTATACGTGACTGTAGACCAGTGGGACACCTAGAGGTTGTCTCAGCTGGAGGAACACTCTTCTGAAGGCAAATACCTCAGGTTGAAAACCCCGTGAGCCGATGTGCAGGTCAGCGTCGGACCTTTCACTCCAACGGAAGTAGAACCCCTCCACCTCTCAAGTTGAATGTGCACAGCGCTTACGGGACGAATAAATATAGCACGTGACCCTCCCAGAATCATCACCCAATTAATCAAATGAACCCCCTTAAACTTGGTTTACTTTTATCTGATATTGACACAGGACACACGCGTAGATTACAATGCCTAGATGAGACACTAATAAAACTTAATTATATTAAAATTCAAACTTCTGGAACTTAGACACTATCGGGGAGAAAGGGAAATAGAAAAAAGAACAGAGTAAGACGGAGACAAAGAGGACAACATGAGTGACGATGAGCATAAAGACTATACCTTACTTTCGAGCGTACGAGCGGTTTCAAAGCCAAGAGTTCTATCCTTGCAAATTTTACTTGATATGTTGAACATAAAAAACTCACAGCTGTTGAATATCAGCTCTAAAATTACATTCTGACAGCACACAAATGTGGGAAAAGTCGCGGGCAGATAGGAATAGGCGGCTAGAGAGAGACAGACTGCCAGAGAGTGTCACACGGCGAGACACAGAGACACAGAGAGAGAGGGAGAGAAAGAGGGAGAGGGAGAGCGAGACACAGACAGAGAAGGACAGACGCCTAGAGAGAAAGACTGCGAGTAACGGACGATGACGGAGGGAGAGAAAGAGAGAGAGAGGGAGGGAGAGAAAGGGTGGGACAGACAGACATACGAGAGAGGGAGACAGAAGACAGACAAACAAGAGAGGGTGACCGACTGGCGAGGGTCTGACGGTGATAGAGGGTGACAAAAGGTATGAGACATGGCCAGAGAGAGAGACAGAAAGAGAGAGACAGAGAGAGACAGAGAGAGACAGAGAAAGAGACAGAGAGAGAGAGACAGAGAGAGAGATAGATAGAGAGAGAGAGAGACAGAGAGAGACAGAGAGACAGAGAGACAGAGAGAGACAGAGAGAGAGACAGAGAGAGAGACAGAGACTGTGAAATTGTTAATTTTGGAATCACAATGCCAGTTTTCCGATCGAAACGAAATGCGATGCTGTTGGATTGTTCTGGCGTTTTCCGAGTCTTCATTAGGAATATCACACTACTGCCATCGCCTTGTTATTTTTCATTTTCATTAGTTAATGAGTCTCACTGGGTCTGATTTAGCTCAATGGGTGTCACTGAGTCAGAGAGAAGATAAATCAATTTCAAATGTGGCATATGTATGTGAAACTTGAAAAGGCTTTTATAGAAAGTAGAATTAATCCTAGCGTTTTAATCAACATTTATTTCATATTCTGATGTGTTCTTAATGGCTACATTTTGTAAGGGTTTCTTACGATACCTACCACAATACTTTTCCCACATTTCCGCTGTATGAAAAAATGGTGCACACATTTTTAGTGATACCACACAACAAGCTTAAGTTATATCAAGTATTTTCTTCCTCTTTTCGTGATATCGACTGGGTAAACACTTCAAATTTGGAAAGAAAACACCTCCTCATTCCTTTGAACAATGAACCACAATTTATAAATGAAAAACCTGTTACAACAGGAAAATAATGTTTCACCTAAATGCAGTAAAAGCATTATGTGATTAATTTCTGCTCCAACATCAAGTCTCTTATTAATCCTAAAATCTTGAAACTAAACAGTGGCTGATAAAATCTTAGTTTTTTCATTATATCTTCAACATTATAAATGCTCTCTATTACATGAATGTGCTTTTCTTATAAGAACATTCCTTTTTATATGAAAATATTAATATAAATATTTGGAAAATATTGTTATCCCCAACTGTTGCTCCATGCAATAAAAATCTGCGTTCAAAAATGTGGTGATATCTTGGATGAGTATCTGCTGTAAGTGTCAAAATAAATTCAGTGTAATCTTTTAGCAATAGTGAACGAACCCACAAGACTAGAAGATAATGTTACGTTGAAGAATGTGCGGCTATTTCATCACAAGGCATTCAAATTACTAGGAGTCACATTTGAAAATCGAGTTGAAATAAATGAAACGGAAACTGCAGGTCGGGGTGGTGGCCAAGAAGTTGAAATTTCTCTCTTTCTTGTCCTATCTGCAGGTCTTACTTACACTTATACTTTCATGCATTTCACTACCACACATGCCGAAAGACTAGTCGGGAGCTTAGAGCTTGTCTCGGCTGGGTTGGTGCCACGCTGGTGGGAGGTATCTCTCTGGCAACAATCCCGCAAGCCTACGGGTAGGTCAGCGCCTTATCTCTCATCTCGCAGGAAAAGATAACCCCAGGCGGTAAAGATATGCACTGCTCTTACAGAACTCTGCAGTTGACGCATTCGGAATCACTATTCACTGAAATTCGTATTTTGGGCGCGAAATATTTGTTTTAGACATTTCATTTGTAACACACTGTAAACTAACTGAAATTATGAAAAACCACAAACCGTTCATTTTTTAAAATAAAAAGAACTTAATGCTCAATAGAGGTCAAATGACGCCACAGTGAGTTAAACTATAAAATTTTAATTGCTAATTAAGGAATCAGTTATGTACTGATTCTTTCCTCTTCGACCAAATGTCCCCAGTATGGTTTTTATTACCTCATCTCCATCATAAAGTTTATTTTATTTATAAACTTTGTTGACCATCTAACTTGCCATCTTGAGGATGGGTCCATTTGTATGGAATTCAAATTTACAAGGGATTAAGAAAAGACCTTGAAATTCGATGCGCATTGTCCTAAATTAAATTCTGGGTAAGTCATCTAAACTTTCAATACGGGCACAACCTGGTCGCAGCTGCGATGCTCTATATATTCTGTAAAATTATCTTACTCTTTGCTGAAAATTAAGGAAATTAATAACATATTTTAAAAACTGTACGTAATTTAGTGAATCTTACATTTAAAGTTTATTTTTCTTTGTATCCAACTGTGTGAAGACTATTTTAATTTTGAAACACACGCAATCAGCTATTACAAAATAGATCTATTGGTTACAACAACATTAGGATATGATTTTATTAACAAATGTAATTAATATATGTTAACATTAGATTTCATCAGATAATTAATAGTGGTTTAATGGGAGTGCATCGAAATTCAATAATAAACCGTTGATGCGTATTGGGTACATTCGTGATATGAGATCGGTGATAGATCTATCCAAATTCAAAACTATTAACTGGTAATATAAGAGTTTGTGGAAACTTAAGGGAGTATATAAAGAAGGGTTATTGGAATATCAGGATATGCAACAAATTCAAAATTATACAGTTGTTACCAACAATAAAAACAAATAGTAATATTAAAAATATGGAGAGTGATTTTTAAAATCTTCAGTTCTAATTTAAACTACTTAATACGAATATTTTTTGACAAGAGGCTCTCTTTGAGTCCAATTTTACAATTAAAATTTTACTTGCTGCTCAGCCATGTGCCACTGAAATATCCTCAACTGAGAAAGCAATTGTTCCTGGCAATAACGTACACGCAATATAAATTATGTACGCAAACAATCCATCATATCCGTGCTGCTGTTTGCAGAAACTGCTATTTGGTGACGCATGCTAGCCAATAGAAAGCAACGGCATTGCCGGGCAAAAATTTACGTTTCTCTCCATTCACTACATTCTATAATTGTGGGAGGGTGTGACGCCCCCCACGATATCATTTACCTGATCTACCTTTTTTGAGTAAATAAATCATTTGGCAACGGACGAATTATTATGTTAACATATTGCACTTATTAAAAAATACTTTATTCGCATGCAAATAACACCTAAATAAATATTATAATGCCAGTATTTCACCCCATTCAACAAGATAGTGATTTACCCAAATGTTTCTGTATTTTAATCAATGGAATTTGAGCTTTAGATCGTAAAATAAGTGCAAGGTGTATGTCGAAAGACGTATATTGTGCCAATCCGGGTAGCCGATATCGCTAAGGCAGTAGTCTTGGATCTAAGGATTGCGAGTTCGAATCTCACCTCGTATGTGTATGTATTCGTGATAGTCTTTCTCCCTTCATCATCATCTTATAATTCTTTAATGCAGTATTACTAATTATCTGCCTAAGCAGGAGGTTATTGCCCTTAAAGGGATGTGCAGTTAAATAATAAAAAGTCATATATTCTATTGTAAAGACAATATTCTGAAATTTTTTGTCGGAAAATTAATTTTAAAAAGTATTGGATGAAAACATGAGACCGTGCTGTAATGCAATATGCTGGAAAACATCCAGATCCAGTGTAACAGGAACAATGTGAAATCTCAAAGTGCAAAATTAGCAGGCTCCTGTACGTGTGTGTATTCCCAGACATAAAATTGTCAACGGGAAGTCACAAAAAAATAATAAGAAACAGGTTTGAATGACAGATTGACCTCCGTATTCGAAGTCTTAGGATCAAAGAAGAAGTAAAAGTAAAAAAAATAGTTAAAAGTAAAAAGTAAAAAAAATGGTTATTTATGATACAAGTGGCATAATTTAGTATGCGAGTAGCAAAGGTTGCGATACGAGACAGATAGGCTGAGTACGGCAATTCCACGAGCGTAATAAAATATCATTTACGTGGGTCATACACCATTTTTGAATAGTCTCACAGAAATTTATTTTACTTTATTTCAAGGCTACAAATTACTTAATGGTACGTTGAGGTCAGTAACAGCTGATGCGCTCAGACGAAAATATATTGTTTTCTTTGTTGCGCATACACGATATTCTCTTTTTAAGAACTAGTACAAAAAATGGAACTTTAAGGTCCCTAATCATGTCTTGAAAAAACACATTTACTCGTGACTCCCTAAATATAATATTATGCAACTAGTTTATAATGTTAAGCTTCATTGCATTTGCTTTGCTCTTAAGACCCGCGCTTTCAAATTTGAACGAATGCTATAAAGCGACATTATATACACGTTATTGTTTGCATAAGACATACATTTATAAGAGAGCCAAAGTTACTTTTTGAATACAACTTTATTGTGACCTCGCAATATTTAAGAACAATGTGCGCAAAAACAATTGTCGGCAGTTCGATACCTCCATTCGATTCCCTCACTGCGATTGAATGTATGATGACGTAATTTTCCTTGCGATAAATGGCCAATACATCACAATCCTTGCCATAAGATGCCATTTTATGAACGATATCTTGAACCAAAATTATCGTTTATGATGCTGTAACACACCAAAAATTATTATATATTTATAAGACCAAAACTTTTTGGTAGTACCAAGAGAGGTGGATCAAGGCATCAAAGTATGACACTGCAGTGCTCATAGGAAGGTTCTAGATTCGAGTTCCGACGATCACACGATTTTTGACAACTTAAATGCTAGATCGAATTCAGACGTCTGCTTGAGAATTCTAGCGGCCGGCTGTTTTGATCGGTAGTTTTCCTTGTTGTTTTTCGCTCAATACTAGGTAAATAGCGGAGCAGTACCCTACCAAACGGAATCCGGGCGGCGTGCGACCTTTCCCTCTCAATCCTGCTCCTATCCTACCCCCCCTTTACACACTCATTTACATACTCTACACTACCATCCATGCAGAGAGACCATTCCGGAGCTTAGTTTGTCCCGGCTGGGGCGGTGCCCCGCTAGTGGGAGATACTTAGTTGGGGAAAAACCCCGCTAGCCGACAGTAGGTCGGAGCCGAATCTCGCCATCTAGCGGGAGAATATCACCGCAACCTCCCTAGCTAAAACATGTACATACAAACGACCTTAGCAGTTGTCGCACCCTGAATGACTATTAATCCCATCGATCATTGTTTGGTAGAAGTCTCTTTCGCAAAGACGAGTTTGCAGCAAAGTTTGGGACCACTGCGTGGCTTTCCCTTCGGCGCGTCCCACTCGCGTCCCTGCTTTCGGGGCCGCTCCAATACTTTCCGGTCCCTTCTAACTGGCGCGCCGCTGCAGGCAGATGACTCGCCTGCTCCTCACCCTTTCCTCGTCCGCCGACGCGTTCACCTCCGCGTGCGAAAGCCATACTTTATACGTCTCGCGCGTCGATATCTCCGGTCCTTGGGGGGAAAAAGGAGGACTGCGAGATTCTTTAGATAAATTCGTGTCACATTCTCCACGTGTGATGTTTATATTTGGGGATAAGCTCTAGAGAGAGATTTGTTTCAAGATGTATGTACTCGCATGGCTGAGTACGTAAAAGTAGAGTTGGTTGAAGCAAATCTGAACTGTCTTTTTTCTTTTGATGTTTGAACGGGTCAGTGACAGATAGTCAGAAGGCACAATTTACATTTTTCAAGTTGACAGTACCACGATTCTGTCTTAGCATCTCGGTTTCATTCGGTAGGTTTCTATTTTCTAGTTATATGGTTGGGTAACACCCAACTATTTGTCTTGATCCCCCATACATGTGTTCGCAAATCTTAAACGAGCTGAACCTCAAAATTGCATGAGTATGGCACAATGGTTATCTTAAACTGAGTACTTACCCCATAAACTAACTTATGTATTCAGTTTAATAGTTCAAAACTGCGTAATATCAATTCCATTAGTACTTAGTATTACCTTTAGTTCAAGATATTATTTTAACAGCTTTGAATAACGCAATTTTTGCATTTTATGTTCTTTTATTATGTCAAACGTTATTGAATAACGCTTTTTACTACTTCTAAAACTGAGATTTAAATATTTAAAATTTGATTACAACATTACGTGACCAAACAATTCTATGACGTAATGGATAAAGTGGTGTATTTAAAGTTTAAACCAGTCAATCAAATTCCATAATTAAGTTATTGAATTTAGACTACGATTTACTTCATAATGGTTTATAAGTTTGTTCACAAATTATTAATTGTAAGGCGTGGGTGGTTAGTGTTTTAAAAAATATTATATTATTTCTATTGTAAAATGGAACACAACTTTTCGGTTCTTTTTCTTTCCTTTGATTGGTTCTTGGACTTTCTCTCACACACACCTCGTCTGGTCAGTGCCTTCTTTTCTCTTCTTTCGTTCTTTCGTTCCTCCTTCCGCGATTGACTTTACTACCGGGGTCCTGAAATGGGTTCCCTACGACAATCGGCCTTCCTGATATGGCAACTTAGATGTGAATGGAGGCCCATTCGGATTTTACAACGCAAGATAGCGCAACCAAAGCCTCGACGTGTCTGTCCCAATCTGAGGCGCTCTAGAGAATTAGAGGCGAAGGTTTTTTCGGCGGCTCATAACCTATCGCCAAGGACGATGTAATCAACATGCGACAGATCAAATATTTCCGGGACCTTCCGATTTTTGTGATGTGAGGATTTTGTGGAGCGTAAACATCGGAAGTTTAGAGAATTTTTTGGAGTGTTGTCTTCATGTGGTAGTTTTTAGCGCTCTCTATCAGGTGATTGAAGAACTGGGTATGAAATTATCACGGTTTGGTAGTTTTAGAAGGGTAGAAATCCAAAGGGTAGAAAATGGAATGGAGTTGTTGGAGAGGTATGTTTAATATTTTTAGAGAACCTTTTAGGTTCTCGTTCTTTTTAACATGTTCATGCTAAAAAAAAATGCAGAATCAAAAACCTGACACTTTCAAAATAAATTGGACCGACCATTTTAAAATAACGAATAAAAGGAGGGATTGTTTTGAAATTAGTTGTGCAGTTTCTGCTGTACCGGAGAGCTTCATAATGCTATCTGATAAATAAAATATAGGTACTACAATATCACATTATTTCTGAATTTGATATTTTCGAAAATTCAGACAATTCAATTAAAATTAAATCAATGAATTTGACATTTTAATATAACAACAGTTGCAGATATCAGTGCAAGACAAAATAAAGTATAATATAAACGCTAAGTGTGTTGCCTAAATTGAAACTGACCAACGATCGAATAATGCTGTTGTCTATGTAATATTATTTCTTCGTTAAATTTTCAGACGTTTTATGTTCTTTCGAAGTATTAGAAATTTTGTGGAGATCTATGGAAACCCAAGACAATTATATTTACTCAAGGAATTGTTGGGTACTTTCAGTTTTCATTTTGCTAATATCATAGTATTTTAAAACTGTAGAATATAAAATATTTGAAATAAATTGTCTCACTTCCTAAATCTTTCTAACATAAATTATATTTTCGCTTCTTTTACTTACTACTTTATCATGTTGTAGTAGCATAATACACAAACAATCGTCCAAATATTAGTTTCATAATACATTATTAAATTTAACTAGTCTCAAACAGTAAATACACTTGAGTTCAATTTGTTTATCAAGCAATTCTTTTTTATCTATACAATTATACAAAACACGTAAATGTGCTGAAATGACTTTACATACTATACTTTTAATATATAATTATATTAAGCCAGATGAACAAGAGTAAAAATTAAGAAACCTTTTTTCTGTTACTTTATAAACCCCCAGCAATGTAATTCTGAATACATTTAATTTTAACTCCTTAAAATTATAAAATTTTGCTAAGCATTTCGTTACTGAAAATTTAAATATTCCATTTGAATAACAAATACATTTTAGTACGCTTTTCGTCTTGTCGGGCTGTAAAACGAAATGAGAATAAAAGTTAATCTTAAACCAACTTAATAAAATGAACGTCTGTGGAAGATGTTTCTGGTGTATAATACTGTTTCTTTCTCGCTTTCCTACCTGGAAACTGTTAATGCCGCGAAATGTTATCAAGAAAAATCTGCATTTTAAGTCGGAAAAAGAATATCCGTGTTAAAGTGTCGGTATTGGATCTCGCTCAATGACTCAGCTTCTAACTTAACAGAAGACATCCTTAAACGCTATTTAACAGATTACGCATCAGGCATATTGTGAAAATAATTCAACAAATTGCAAAGTAATATTTTATAACTTTAAAAATGGTTTTAATAGTACGGTTTTTATACTAAATGCACGATTTAACAACACATGGATATTTCATTACTTATATCTTGTCGCTTTTCGTCACTTTTGTCGCCTTTCTTGTCCCTCTGCTGTTCCTTTGCCTTTGTTGTACTTGTAGACAGTTCTCCTGGAACTAAAGTTTGCTCACAGCACGCACCGTAAGGTCGACAACCGAGTAAGAAAGACGTTATCACTTCTTTCGTATTTTAAATATTGATATTTTCCGCGTTTGTACACATAATTTATTATGTGTTCAATTATAATTTTTCAGGAGTTTAAAAAAAATTATAACATGGTGGGAAGATGCCAGAGCTTTAATTTGATTAATTATCCGTTTACAAATTTTAACAATAACCAAAGTAAATTAGTAATTAAAATAAAAATGCGAAATGTGTTAGAAGGTATAATAAAAATGAAAGAGGAGTAAAATGCTACGTTTAGGAGATTATTGAATTAAAGCAAAATAATATTTATAATAGGAAGAGGAAAAATGGCTTTTGGAAAGTGTGAACGAATACAAAAAGCCGAATAATTTTGTCATAGAGTGAAATGTCTTGTTTCAAATATTGACATTTGTCTCCTTTGTTTGTTTGCCTTTTACTCCCTTCTCAGGCTCTTGCTACGGTATGACATCGGTACAGCAAAAACTCACATGACACGTACCCTAAATGTGGAAACAAACTGAGGTTCTCATTACCTCTTATTCTTACTTTTCGTTTATAAATTCGTCTCCTCTATTTCCCTACTTTTCCTTTCTTTGCATGTTTTTGTTAAAATTTTGTAATTTATGAAGCCAGTATTTTTGCAATAACTTTGCTTATGACATATATCTGTATAACAGGATAAACGTGTGTGTCCATACATCGTTCGTCTATTTGTAACACAGTGTCTACCATTGAACAAAATAACAGCAGGTGGCCCACATACTGTTCGTAGCTCAAGTTAAAATTTTACTCTTAGCCATTATGAGTTTTGTAAGATATTTCTGTCACCTTTTTTCAGTTTTTGTCACCTTTAAATGATAAGTTCTATACGATGTGAAAGTCATTAAATTTTAACACAAGCTTTTTGGCATGTAAACCGAGTTATGTTTAATCCCATATGAAAATGGTGATAAGCGACGTGTGTTAACATAGGAAATATCTAATTCTCAATTGATATTCATGACTCGTTTTGAAGTTGTGACAATAGAATAATAACTCGACAATAGAATATCGGAGGGCTATCACTGGGAGGGAAATTAATGAGTGGAAGGGAGGTAGCAGGTAGTAGGACAATCCTGCGGTCTGAGGTTATGAACGGTGGGGCATTCGGCGGACAGTAATCGGTGGACGGACAGGAAAACACATATGTAATGAATGATTGATGGGCATGGGGATGAAAAAAGAACAGCTGGTGATCAGTGAGCAAGTAGGTGGATGGATGTGTTTGCGAATAGATCGTCAGAGATCAGACGTGTATGCGATATGTGTGTCTGGAAAGCAATTGTTTAACGATGGGTGGTTTGGTAGGTAAGTAAATAGGTAGGTAGGTAGGTAGGTAGGTTGAGTTTGGTAGGCAGAGGTAGGAATATAGATAGGTAGATGTAGGTAATAGAGGTATGTAGTTAGATAGAGCCATATAGACAGGTAGACGTAGGTAAGTAGTGATAACTAGGTAAATACGTAGGGGGCGTATGGATAGGAGAGTGGGTTGGCAGGTGAGTGTGTGGGCAGGTGGGTGGGTAGACACTCGCAAGTGGATGTAAGTAGGTAGATAGGAAGGTGGGTGGATGGGAATATGGGTGGTTAGCTGAGTGGGAGAACGGGTGGGCTGGCAGAAAGGTAGGTGGGTGGTGGGAAAAGGAGGGAGGGATGGAGATGAGTGTTCGATGGGTGGGTGGAAACGCACGCATGTGGCCCTCGAGGGCCCTTCCGCTCCGTTGCGCGTCCATAATGCACAACCAGGCAGAGGCATGTGCACCTGCGCGTAGGGCATTTACAAGCATTACTCATCGCGCCACTCTGGATCAATAATGTGGGTCATATGCTGGTGCTTAAGAATAAAGCGACTGTAATACCATCGAAGCATTAATATATGTTTTATTTATATATTTATTTTCGTCAAAAACAGTTAAAAGCTATGTGTGACGTGCTATGGGGAGACGTTAATTTGAAGTTACATTTATGTCCAGAAGCAAAACAAGGGCCTATCTCAGCATTTTCTCGAAAGACAAGGAAACTGGACCTAGGGATCAGGGAAACTGGATCAGGGAAAAACCTGATCGCGATGGGGATCATTGACCCAGACGATGAAGTAAAATACTTGTTAGAGGTTCTATACAAATGATATGTAATAAAAAATGTAGTTATTAAATTAATACTACGTCTCTTTTGGATGCTTGGTATACTCTCTAATTGTATAGAAACAGTGGAGCAGCAGAAAATATTTTATTTGGGATTCAAACTTTCGTATGGAATTTAATTGTTTACTGTCGTTTGGCAAGGTGGCACGGTGGCAAGGCGAAATAATGTGCATGTATTATATGTGAATTATGTTATATATTATTAATTATATGCTACACATAGGAAGAGAAATGCATAATTATTCCTCACGTGTTCATATCAAACTCAAAAACTTGGGACATTACAACATCTGAAACTATTGCTCCAAAATTTTATTCAAAATCTTCAAGTATTAAGAAAAATCGTTAAGAGGTGTAAATAATTAAAAATGTGCTACCTTCATCTGTCTAGAGAGCACGTAATGATATGCTGTACGAATCTAAAGATGGTTCTAATGATTACCGTAAAATGTTGGAGTAATGTAATTAGAACTTCATGTTGTTTTCAATAGCATCTTAAAAGGTGACAGCATATGTATCTCAAAATACTGAGAAGAAATTTTGTTACAACATTTTCCTTCAAAATTATACAAATCTGCAATAAAAAATTTAAAAATAATAATTCGGTCAGATAAGTGTAGATTTGATGACACAACAACGGTTTTCACATTATAGATGCAACCCGCAACACTCAAGAGAAGCACTAGTTGCCGAACGTTTTCGTGCTAGGCGCGACGATCAAGAAAAGCCGACGGGGATGGGATGATGGGCGGGACTCATTGGCTCAGGGAGACTGTTGCTGATGAATAGAGACTGAAAATGTGTTTATGTATATTGCCTGAATTTCATAATATTAAGGGCATTTATTTGTAATAAAATAGGCATAAAAAGGCATTTATTCGGACTGAGATATAGATGATAAAGTTCACAAAAACAAAATTAAACATTAATAAATATTATAGTTTATAAGACGCTCAGAAATATAAAGTGTGAAGCCATGAGAGGAGGTTCGTCGGTTAGATATAAATGTGGCGGCATCATTCAAATATCTAAGAACCTCCATTGGTATTTATCTCTTCCGACATTGTTTTAGAAATTTTAAACCAAAGACGCAAGAATAACACTTCGTTCATAAACCGCATATTCTCTGTTGCCATATAGAACATAAATTCATATGTTTTTCAATGTTACAGGTAAGTTCCCAGAGTGATCGAAATCAGAGCAAAAGGTGCAATAAATGACAAAAATTAGAGGAACGGTAAAAAGAAAGCAGAAGCATTAAAATAAGCAATAGATGCTACAAAAGAAAAGCTCAAAGAAATAAGGTATTACGAATCTACTGGACTCAAATTTCTCGTAACATCGTAAAATTACATCGCGATCGTTTATGCAGACGAATACTAATTAAGCTGCAGCTGTATTTCCACCTTCAAACGTCTCTTGCCCTTTCTCTTGGCGTAATTTAAATAAGAACACTTATCGTGGAACACAAAGCAATTATAATATTGTGAACTCATGTAACCAGATTCAATAAGCTGATGTTACCTTCTCCACTTCCGTGGATATCTTGCTCCTTATTTGAAAACCACCGATTAATTTACTGAAGTAATGTCCCTAAGGGGTCGCCAAACTTTCATTAAGTTCCTAATTGAGTTTTAAAGCCAGAATGTTACGTTATTGGGTCCGGAGTCCCTTCTCTATTAAATTCCAATAAAACTCGATCCATAGTAACCGATGCACCACCTCTCAATTGTTCTTTGTCCGTGGGTTCATAGAACTACATATTTACCTTTCGTAACACGCAATCTATCGAAACAATTCAATAAAGATGGTTAAATGATTCATATTGTTAAAATGTCAAAATCGTAGCAATAATTATAAAGATTTTTACAAACTTACGGGGTTTTAGCGATAATTATCTCGACAATGACATGTAATGTGCTAGTTACCAATAATTACTATGTCAATAAGAGTGTTGTATGTTTTACGTAGAGATCGGAATTTTAGGTGGTAAAAAACTATCAAATATTTATATGTGTTCACTTAAAAATTCACAAATGTGTTAAAACGATGAAAATATTTATTTAGTATCCATATGAAAGGAATGCGGTATCCAAGATCGAAAGAAATCTCGAAGTTAAATGTGACGTTATATCCTTCAAATATCCTGCACTTTTCGTCTATATATCCGAGGAACATTGGGAGCAGTTCGTGTTATGAGTGTATACAATTGCTCGGAGTGCTATTGTCTGAATCTACAGTAGAGTTAGAATGACCCTCATAGGTCTTCCCACTCACTCCATCCCATCGGGTAAGTCCCAAAGTAACATATGTGTGACCAACCTCTGCATTCCAAACTGGCACATTTTTTCTCACATATTTAAAGGCTCCAAAGTACCAAATTTGATAATTCACAAAATATTAATTTATTCATACAACATTTTGCGAAGTATGCTATTATAAGTTTCGACGAAAATATTTATTTTTAAACAACTGAACCAAAATATTTATTTCTAGGTGTTAATCAATTCGCTGAATGGAAACTACTGGGCGATACTGAATTTTCCATAAACTTTTGACGATCAATAGGATAAAAAGATGTGTTTACCTTAAAGTCCGGGTCTTAGTGTAAGTATGAGTATCATATAATATAAGTGTTCTCTCCCTTGATTATAATATGAGTCCTCTCCCTTGGCGTGTAAGAAGCCAATACCACCACCAGCGCCCAAGGGAGATGATTGCGATGGGCGGCGGTGCAATGAAACGCTGGGGCTGCGTTCACGGGACGAGCAAATGTTAGCGGAGTGGTACCCAAGAGCTCAATTCCGAGAACGCTGCCCGGATATCGAACCCCGTCCCGCGGAGGTCGAAAGCGAGCACGACGCCGTTGCGCCAATTGCTGCCGGGAAAATTGGGGACCCTAACCAAGAATCGACACCGGCGCGGACAACAGAGATTGCGAGCGTGTTAGCAGTTTAGATAAATCCGTGAACTATGATGTGGGAGGTACAAAAGGAAAATAAAAAGAAGAGGAAAACCCGGGTATGGTTTTAAGACGGGGAGGAAGATGAGAATCAAGAGGAGAACAATAGCACAGTCGATTAAGAAGAAGGGAGAGAAGAAGAAATGGCGAGGAGATTGAAAAAAGAGCGAAAAGAAGCCATGGAAGAGAGAGAGCAAGAGAAGAAGCAGAAGTAGGAAAAAAATTAGAAGGGAAAAAAGACAGAGAGTGAAGGAAGAAGAAGTCAAGGAGCAAAGCATAAAAAGGTACTGAATGGAGAAGAACCAGGAAAGGGATAAGGAGGGTTTTGAAGGATTAGAGAGTCAAAGGCTCTCCAAAAAAAGAGAGGCAGCAGAAATTTTGGTTCTAATGCCGTTGAAGGCAATGTTTTTTAAATTAACAAGTTTATATTTTTTCTATTAAGCATGGAGCTCTCGCCAGTTTTGTGCTACTACTCCGAAACAGACAAATTGTTTGCAGGTAAATGATGACACTCGACGAAGAAACGCTAGTATATATTAATAAACAATCTGACTTAGCTGCTAGCGCCGTTAAATTACCTGACCGACGCTTATTAGTAGTGACTGACATCTAACGTCTACGATCTCCGGCGCGCTGTTAAGCAACATCAATGTGACAACGATGCCGCTGGGTAACTCCAAGTACGGGCGTTCGTGGCGCAATTTGCCATTACATATGTGCGGTCATGTGACCTATTCGATTAGTACAGAACCAAGACCATTGTGGCCTATGAGCTTTGCTTGTGAGGTGTAGTAAGAACATACTATTTATGAAAAGCGCCCTCTGGCCTCGAGAGGTGAAAGAATTGGAGGAAGATGGTAGACACCGTGATGACATGATCAGGATGGAGAGGCGGCCCTTGAAAGAGAAAGGGGCATAGGAAACTATTACCTAAGCAGTATTGCGATTATAAACAATAGAGAACAAAAGGAAAACAATATAAGAGGGGGTATAACTACTGTTGAGGCTGAAATAACTTAGGGTTGCCAACAGTGTGTTAGATTTATTTAATAAAATCAAAACCACAGGCTAGAAAAGTCTACGAAAAATGTTAACCCTCCTATTCTCCTGAACTTTAATCTTACAGAAAGCAGAATTTGGCATTTTTAATCGATCATAATGTTTTACTATAAAATAAAATGTAAGAAATCTAATGGCAGAGGTGTTGAGTAATGATGATGATGAAATAAACAAATTAGTGTTGGAAGAGAAACAGGAGGAATACTTATGCTTCAACAACAGCACATATATTTTTACAATATTTCCAAACCTCAAAATTTTTGAAAAGTAAGAGATTTTTAGAAAAATAAATACAATTTTAAAGAGACATTTAAGAGACTCTACCAGTGAAAGAAACTAAAGAAAAAAATTCAATGTTGTGTTATATTGCATTAATTTCAAATCGAAATTATGCAAGAGTTACAGGCTTTTTTAAATTTTACATGAACTTTTTAGAAGATTTATTTTTAGAACAGATTTGAAAAAAAATATATTATTAACAATATTGTTTTTTGCAATGCTTTAAAGTTTTCATTGATTCTTTTTGTAACATACCTTAGAAAATGCCAACATGTTTCTAACTTCAAAGGTTTCTCCATCTCTTAAATCGATCACGGAATATCAGTTTTAGAGGTTGAGAAACTTAGAGTGCATCTCAGAAGGATTGACTGTCGGCCGGACGGACTGACTGCCGGCTGACCACACGGACGAACTTACTGTGGGACGGACAGACTGACTGTGAGATGGACGGACGGACGGACGGACGGACTGTGGTTCTGATATGCCCGCGCATTTCCAAATCATCAGGGATAGTTAAGCCTTTGACATCGAACAACATAAAACATTTCAGATTCCAGTTAATATCAAAAGCTCTACGAATTTTACACCAATTCTGAAACATTGCTGATCGAGACCAACCTGTCTCGGAGAACTAATACTAAAGTATTTCATTTCAATTAAATAGGAGCATTCTACACATGTTGCTTTCCATGTAATTAATTCGTTTGACCAAAAAAGTCACATTTTTAACTGCAACGGAAGCCAAGTGTCTCTGGCCAATCCACAGGATTGAGCGACGCGGGTTGGTGAAGTGGGAGGCGAAGCAGTTGGAAGAGTAGGCAGATACGTAGGTCTGGGTGACAGGAAGCGGTCGGAGAGGCTAGTGCTAGAAGGAGAGAGAGAGATGGGCAAAGCGAGCGGAATATCGGACAGAAGCGATGGGCTTAGAACGACGGTTGGGGAAGGAGGGAGCGGGCGGGTGACAGGACCGACGATGCAGAAGAATGGGCCTGCGTCATGCGTTGGGTTAACTGGGGGTAAGCTGGAAGGAGGAGGGAAACCGGAAGAAGTGGCTCAGGGTATCAACTGATGTCTCTGCAGTGCCTCTGTCTGGGAGGTCCTCGGTCACAGTCTCAATAGAGGCAGGATTCTTAACACTAGCTGCAGAGCTAGATCGAGTAGGCGAAGCAGAAATCTAACAAACTAGCCATAAGCGAGAGTGTAGGCTTCCGCGGCCGGAGTCAGTATTTACTAGGCTGTCCGGGTTGACGCCGCGTCCCATTGGCGAAGGTGCCAGTGGCATCTTCGCCATGGACACGCGGCGTCACCCGGGGACATCCAAGTAAATATGAGCCATAATGCATTACTTTCCTTTTCGCTTTCTATCCCCACACCTACCTTTACACACACTTATACTCTGATTCCACTACACTAATACTACACATTGCGGCGAGACCTGTCGGTAG